CTAGTTAGCGAGCGGGACATACGTCTTAAACCGCCCGGGTAGCTAGGAGTAGAAAAGGAGAAACAGAAGGAAAGGTACCGACGCACAAGTGTGTCGAGTACCATTTCCTTCTGTTACCCTAGATAGCGGGTGGGATAGAAGCACGAATTAGGTTGCAAGGTGGGGGGGGGTGTGGAAGTGCAAGTGTGGACAGACACAAGGAACCGTAACGTGTCCGATCTCAAAGTGGTCGTGGTTGGAAAAGTGAGACAGTACATTCTTGAAAGTGAAATCAAGCTGCAAACATGAACGTGAATCTGATCAAAGAGAGTGGAATTGCCGTGGTGAAACAGTGGTGAAACTAAATCCGTTGAGAGAATCCAAGGTCTGGTGGAGGCGGTCGAAGCAGTTACACGAGTTCCGGAATAAAAACGGCGCCTCCTTGCGGAGGATCACACCCAGCGCCCAAGTGGGACGACTGAGCGAGTCACACTCTGACATTGGTTTGCTGTTAACTCAGTTCCCAAGTCAAAGAAAGGTGGTGGAACAGAAAGGCGAAGAGTCCAAGCATTTGTAGGTGTTTGAACAAAGTGGTTTCACACTTGACTGCGGAAGCTAGTTACTGCATTAGCCCTTTACTGCAAGAACGGTAAGGTGCAAGGGTCCGAAGAACAGAACTGCTTAACAAACGCACTAGCACTTTACCAAAGCTAAGGAAACCTGTTTTGGGGCCGGGGGATATCATGCGAACAAGGTGCAAAAGTTTTCATCCGCGCAGGTACAAGTTTGCGTCCAAACTTCCATCCAGTCGATTTCCCTAGCTTCGTTGTCGTGACTAGGAAATCGACTGTCACGCCCCCTGCGACTTAAAACTTGAGAAAAACAGAAACTCTTAGTCACAGAGGTGGACACACACACAGAACGCCGATATCGGCGCAGGAGTCGTAGGAGTACGCGTATGCATTTTGACATACACACTTAGTCACACTTAGTCACAGGGTTTGCAGTTATCATAATCCACAGTGAAATGATTGACGGAAACGCAAGGTGAAGCGGCCAGCGCAACTGAATTGTTTAACAAGTTGTTCACGCGTCTGCAGAACGCGGCGGTGACGAGCTGTAAGCGCGGCAAGAAAGTGGGTCTGGGGGAAGTCTCACGACGAACCACCATGGAAACAAAAAGTGGGAAAGTGGAGTCACAGCGTGTGCAAAAGTTCCGTCAGCGCAGGGACGCCAGGATGGCCAACCCTGGTATCCCGTGTTCAGACTAGCTTCGTTGGGCGTAGTCATCTGAACACGCTACGCCCCCCTGCATTCTTGAATTCGCGCGTGCAACAGAGAACCCTTTGGAACGCACACACTTAGGATAGGGTGTACTGAACTGAAAGCGGCGCCACACGCCGGCCTAGGGTTCCATTTCCTAAGGGTACCAGTACGAACCACGGGAACCTGGAGGACTTCAAGAGGAAAGAAGGCCAAAAGCTCAAGGCGAAAACGGACCGATGGGGTGACGGCGTAACGTGCAAGTCTGCGGAACTCACTAGCCCTTTACTAAGGGTAGAAACTAGCTGGGTTCTCGGCTTAGCCCAGTGGCCATGCACGGAAAAACTCAAAGCAGGTACGTGAGAGTGATCAGCTCTCATTTCCCGTACAATCAGGTAGCTTCGTTGGACATGGTCCCTGATTGTACGCCATGTCCCCCTGCTGCGCAAGGAAAACAACTGTGAAGCAAAAACAATCCGAAAGGATCCCTATGATTCCAAGGGTTACACACACACACACACACGCCTCCCCGAGGGGAGGCAAGATTTTAAGCTCCGCGCCACAATTAACGAGGCAATGACGTGTACTTCGTCCCCAAGTAGTGGTAAGGCCAGGAACCTCTAGTAGCGTCAAAGAAAAACCTAACACCTAGTAGGAAGGCCAGGAGCCCCTAGTAGCATCCCAAGCTAAGGTGCCGACAAGAGGGAGGGGTAGGGAGAGACGAGAAAAAGGAGAGAAAAGAAAGGAAGGTGTTCCCAGCTACGACGCATGCGTCCAAGGACACACCAAAGGAAGAGAGGAGAAGGTTCCCAGCTATGACAAAAGCATCCAGGGACACCCAAGGAGAGGAAGGAGAGAGAGAAGGAAAGAAAGAAAGAGAGAGGGAGAGAAAGGGAGAGGAGAGAAAAAAAAGAAAAAGGCAGGTGTTCCCAGCTACGAACAAGCGTCCAGAGACACACCAAAGAAAGAGAGGGGTGATCCTGAGTGTTACATTCAGGAAAACCCCAGGAAGCAAAGAAAGAAAGGGGGAAGGGAAGGGGGAGAAGGGACTAAGCTCGCGACAGGTTCCAATGAACCTTGAACAAACTTCGGTCGCTGCGACCACGTACGGCTTGCCCGAGGGCTGCCACCTCTGACCGCTGCGGTCACCTAAAGGCATGAGCCAGCTTGGAATTCCTAAAATGAGACAACATCATCGTACGTACGGCCTAGGCCACCTACGCTCGCTGCGAGCTGCTCTGTATCCGGGCAGGGGATACGTTGGACATACGCCCGTTCGACGGGTCCACGGGAGGCAAAACACACTTAGGATAGGGTGTACTGAACTGAAAGCGGTGCCACACGCCGGCCTAGGGTTCCATTTCCTAAGGGTACCAGTACGAACCACGGGAACCTGGAGGACTTCAAGAGGAAAGAAGGCCAAAAGCTCAAGGCAAAAACGGACCAACGGGGTGACGGCGTAACGTGCAAGTCTGCGGAACTCACTAGCCCTTTACTAAGGGTAGAAACTAGCTGGGTTCTCGGCTTAGCCCAGTGGCCATGCACGGAAAAACTCAAAGCAGGTACGTGAGAGTGATCAGCTCTCATTTCCCGTACAATCAGGTAGCTTCGTTGGACATGGTCCCTGATTGTACGCCATGTCCCCCTGCTGCACAAGGAAAACAACTGTGAAGCAAAAACAATCCGAAAGGATCCCTATGATTCCAAGGGTTACACACACACAGATAGTCGTTATTCCGGCGCGTGTGATTAAGAGTCATGACTGTTGCGTTCAGCGGGACGGCTTGCTTGTTTGGTTGAATTTGCACTCTGCGGTGGGGTACCCTATGGCAAAGTACAAGTTGATCAGGTGGTCAGCCGCGGCGGCAGCTGGGGTGGAGGGGAAGGTGTGCATGTGGATGGTGTGGATACGGGAAGCGAGGCCCGAAAGGGCCAGGCGTGCAGGTCTGCCGCGCGAGCGGCAAATTACGGACCAGATCCTGAGTAGGTACCTAAAAAGCCTTAGAGCAGAAAGAAAGACAGAAAGAGCCAAACGAAAGGGCAAGAGAGAAAGATAGGTGTAGCGAAAAAAGTGGCTACTTAGCACTTGACTACTTAGCCCTTGACTACAAAACTCAGGGGCAGGGAAACGAGCCTAAAGAACCACCTAACAAGCCTGAAAGAACGCCTAGAAAACGAAGAAAGCGCAAGAGAGAAAGGGGGGGAGAGGAAGGGGGTGTATGTCCGTGTGTGTGTGTGTGTACATGTGTATGTTTACCGTAAGCCCGGCGGCGTAGAGTCCGTAGCTCGGCAGCTTTGCGATCAGAAGATTCATGGGTGAGACAAAAGCGAGCCAGTAACCTAAAAGCCTTAGAGCAGAAAGAAAGACAGAAAGAGCAAAACGAAAAGGGCAAGAGAGAAAGATAGGTGTAGCGAGAGAAAAGTGACTACTTAGCGCTTGACTACTTAGCCCTTGACTAAAAAACCGAAGGGCAGGGAAACGAGCCTCAAGAACTACCTAATGAGCCTGAAAGAAAACCTAAAAAAACGAAGAAAGCGCAAGAGAGAAAGCGGGGGGTGAAGCGGAGGGGGGTGTCCATGTGTGTGTGTGTGTTCACGTGTATGTTAAGCGTAGGCTCGGCAGCGATCTGTTGATTCATGTGTGAGACAACAAGCCCGTAACCTGATCCACGAAAGCAAGTCAGCTGAATCGAGATGTGATGCACGATGGTTTCAGCGCCTCTTTTGCGAGAGGACCACGCTGTGTACCCAGTGGGAGGACACAGCGATACACACTTAGTCACAGGGTTTGCAGTTATCATAATACACAGTGAAATGAATGACGGAAACGCAAGGTGAAGCGGCCAGCGCAACTGAATTGTTTAACAAGTTGTTCACGTGTCTGCAGAACACGGCGGTGACGAGCTGTAAGCGCGGCAAGAAAGTGGGTTTTGGGGGAAGTCTCATGACGAACCACCATGGAAACAAAAAGTGGGAAAGTGGAGTCACAGCGTGTGCAAAAGTTCCGTCAGCGCAGGGACGCCAGGATGGCCAATTGGTATCCCGTGTTCAGACTAGCTTCGTTGGGCGTAGTCATCTGAACACGCTACGCCCCCTGCTCTATTATAGAACAAGCTCCTAGAGACGGAGGGTGACACAGACACACACACACACACGTGAGAGCATACACAGGGACCCGCTTATGAGGACACAGGATGCATATGAACAGACATAGGAGATCAGCGATCACACGGTGTGAGGTCGAGGTTAGAGGTCCACCAAATCTAATTACTGCGCTTGCTATGAAATCTGCGCGCCGAGGTCCATCAGGTCCATCATCACGTGCTGCACTTGCAACGAACTGTGCACTTCAATGCCCACACAGTGCTGCAACTGCCAGACACTTTGGAACCTGCTCCCAAATGCAGCTGCCATAGAAACATCCAAAGTCAAACTAGTAGTTTCTTGCTCTTAATAGTAATGCCAGGAACTACTAGCAGCGCCCTTGCTCCTAGTAGCGATGCCCTTTGCTACTAGCACATCTGATCTGACGTCTACGAAACTGACTTCGACGCCTATGGACTGCGGGGCGAAGCCTCCGATATTTGAAGCAGGATTCGGTACACCACTCGTCGTCTACTCGTGCCACCAACATCTGTATGTTGGAGGTGTGGTCACTGAGTAGGCCAGCAATGGCGTGAGGGAGCGAGGGGGGAAGGGAGGGAGAGGGTGGGAGGGAGGGAGTGACTGGCTGACTGGCTGACTGAGTTGGTTGTTGAGGTGCTAACATTGAACGGATGTGTGACGGGAGGTGATTGGATGGATCGGTGGGTGAGCCAAGATGTAACTAGGTGGTGAGTGGGTGTGGTGCATGAGGTCATCAGTAGGATTATATATATATATAAGCATGGTAGCCACAGTGGCTTTGAAGACGTGGAGCTCTCACACTGACGCTCCTGTGTATATTTATATATATATATACATATGGTATCTCTTCACTTAAATTAAATTACACTTTCCTTAACCACCGTGGGATCTGGTGATTTACGAGGCCAAACCAACATGGAAACCTGCAAGGAGCCTATTACCGGGGACACCGCGTAAGTTGGTTTGAACCACAAGGTCCTCAAAAGACACTAACGTGGAAACATTTTGGTCAGGGGGGGGGGTCATGAACCTGTATTTCTCTAGGAAAACCTAAGGTAGCTGGAAGAATTGGTCAACGCACTGGTTTCTAGGTTAGCGTCTTCAAGCTACTTTCAATAAAAAATGCTCATCCTGAGAGTTGCCAGGTTAGCGCAACCTGAGGCAACTTGAGTAATTGGTCATTTCACTGGTTTCTAGGTTAGCGTGTTGAAGCTGTGGTTCTTT